TCTTTTCACGTATTAGGATATTGAGGCCTATAAGGGTGAAGTGATTTGCCCAAGGGCGTATATAATAAGTAGTAGAACCAAGTTCTCTGACTAAAAACCCAGTGTTCTATCTAAAAACTATCCATCTATCTATTCATGCTACAGTCACATAAAAGCAATCATAAATAAAAATGTTTATTAAATATTTCCTAATTGTGTTCTAATAAATTCATATTTGATATTTTGATTATTACAAAGCTGCCTTCCAAAGACATGCGAAGCAAAATAGCATAATGAGTAGAGTATTTACTTTGGAGATGGGAAGATCTAGGATCAAATTCTGCCACAGATACATACTAGTTGTGCTATGATCATAGGCAGAGTCACTTAACCTCTCAATGGCACAGTGAACTTTCTAAGCAGATTTCCATGCCAAGAGTTTCCAATGTAGCTATAATCAATGGTCTAGATATATCCCTCTTCCCACCTCACTCTCCCAACAACTGCAACAACAAAAAAGTATTATTCAAGGATAATTACATATTAAATGCTGTTCTAAAGCTTGTTTTATTATGAATCAGCTCCATTGTGTTTATGTTTTATAGTCTATAATGATGGAAGAACCATTAATATATCTATAAGTGCTATTCCTATTTAGTCCTTATCACCGAAATTGACCATTTCAGTAAAGCTTCTGACCTCAATGAAAAGTGACTCATCATAAATCTTTATTTCCCTGGATCTTTGTTTCAAACTCATTTATGAAATTCACTTATGCTTTTTTTAAAAAAAATATGCATTCTAGGCAGAATATATTATTTAAACACATCAATAGTTAACATTTGAAAATAAATCTAAACCAAAAAATTCACGTATTTCTTATTATTATGGAATCTACACAGGGGCCTGGTTAGAACCTGATAACTTTAAGAACTGGAAGTTGTGAGAACCAGTCATATCCTTCAAAATCTAGTTTCTCTGAAAGCTTATTTTCAGAGCTAATTACCTCCTAGAAATTCTTCGACTTTGCTATCCCTCATATCTTTCCTTTACCTCCTTCCAGTTGCCTAATAATTTGATTCCAATTTAAGCTGCTTGTCATCTGAACTCAGTAATCCAATTCTTTCCTGTGAATAGGAAAATACCAAGCAGATGTTGGTATTCTAACCTCACCTAACCCCACTTTCCAGAAATCTCCAATCTAAGAACACTGGCTTCTTCTAATACTGAGATCGCATTACTCTTTGTTAACCAATGCTATGATCTTTTCTGCCTATGACAGGGCATATTGTTTAATGATTTTCTCTATTATGCTCATTATATATATATATATATATATACATATACATATGTATTTATATATATATATATATTATCTAGAGGCAATGTGGCATAATAAATAGAGAATTGGCTTCCTGCTGTTCCTCAAACAAATATCATCTCCCAACTCTGGGCATTTTCTCTGGTTGTCCTCCATACCTGGAATGCCTCTTATCTCTAACTCCTGGCTACTTTAAGTCTAAAATCCTGCCTTCTATAGGAAGGCTTTTCCTATCTCCCTTATATCTATTGCCCTTTTTCTGTTATTTACAATTTATCCTTCATATGATTTATTTGTATATATGTTTGCATGTTGTCTCCCACATTAAACTGACTCCTAGCAACTATCTTTTATCTTTGTTTGTATCCTCAGCACTCAGTACATAGTAGGTATTTAATAAGTGTTTCTTGACTGACTGGCTAACCTCAGAGTTGGGAAACTTAGGTTTTAGTCCCATCTTTTGCATATATTGGTTATTTGACCCTGGACAAGTCATTTAAGTTGGTGCTTCAGGAAACTCTCTACAATTTTTTTAAATTAAAAATTCAGGAGAAGATACCAGTCTTCATTGGTATCTCAGCAAACATTCCATATACCAATGATCTAGTACACACACATACACACACACACACACACACACACACACACACAGGCAAAGAGGCTCTTAGATGTATTTGTAAATAAATATATTAATATACATAATCATAATATATATAATGGTGCAAAAATATGTAATATATGTGATCATATACATAATCTACATAATCAAATGTACTTAATCACATTAAGTATAAAGCTTTGTGATTGTATATAGCTATGTATCTGTGTGATTGTATGTATTTAAACACACACACACACAGACACCTAAAATAGCAAAAGCAACCCCTGGACGACTCAGTAACAAACCTAAAATAACAAAAGAACAAATGACCAAAACAGTGTTGCACCAGTGTGCAATGGTGATTAGTTTATCAAAAAGAGGAGTGTTCTGAATAGTTGGTGATTTATATAAAAAGACTATTTTTGTGTGTAAATGTTGGGAAGTATGGGAAACATGCCAGAAATGATAGAATATGAAAGAGACATATGGAAGAGGCACCCTCAGTTGCCTCTCCACTCTGATTGGAGGGATGAAGGGCAGAGAAATAAATTCTCCCAAAACCTCCCTTTATATTCCTCATAAGCTGCTCGTTTTGGTTTCAACCCCATGAACATCATGCCCCCACATCAGTTACCCAGTAGTACTCTTTCTCTTTTCAGCTTCCCTTTGTGTATTAAGGGACTCTCTTTTTCTCATTTGTATTTCCAGTGCTGAGCATAGAATCTAGCACATAGTAGGTACTTAATAAATGTTTATTAAGAAAACCAGAGAAAAAAGATTAGCAGCAGCAGCATAGTGGTGTTGTTCAGTCCTTTCAGTTGTGTCTGATTTTTGTGACCCCATTTGGGGTTATCTTGGCAAAGATACTGGAGTGGTTTGCCATTTCCTTCTTCAGCTCATTTTACAGTTGAGGAAACTAAGGCAAACAGAATAAAGTGATTTGCTCAGGGTCACACTTGCCCAGGTAGTACATATCTGAGGCTGGATTTGAATTCAGCTCTTCTGACTCCAGGCCCCATATTCTATCCACTGCACCACCTAGCTGCCCCAGCAGCAGCACAGTTGGTGGCAATTAGAAGTGGCAATAGGGATGGCAAAGAGTAAACACTAATAGCAAGGAAGGAAGCTAGTGATGAAAAGATGGGAGATATAAAATAACTAGATAGTCTAGTGAAATTGAATGGGGGGAAGGGAGTATGGGTAGCCAACTGTACCCCAGTACTACAGCTCATAAAGGCACATGAGGTATCCATTATTTAAATGTAAGGGGACAGGGTGTAGAGAGAGTGGAAGCAGACTGGCCACTGGTAGAAGCAACCATCTGTACTGTATTTCATGATAGTATTTAGTGTACTTGAAGACATATGCACCATGCTGAATGCATACCAATTCAGCAGTCTAGGAGAAAGGGGAATTGTGTGCCATTTAGTAAAGTAGCAAACTAAAATATAATATAATGCAATACAGGATCATAGAAACTGTAATTTAGAGGGTGTCTCATCCATTCTAATCCGTACCTAGACAAGAATGCTTTCTATAGTCTCTGAAAAGTGCTTATCTAGTCTTCACTGCAGTGGATGGTGGTGGTGGTGGTGTGGTGTGATGTGGTGTGTGTGTGTGTGTGTGTGTGTGTGTGTGTGTGTGTGTGTGTGTGTAGGGAAGAGGTGACTGGCAGGGAGTAAGAAGACCAACAGTGATGGAGAAGCAACTGCTAAGAAAGATAGCTCATAGCACTTTGGGACCACTCTAATCATTGTCCCCAAAGTTTACCCAAATTAAGAACCTCAAAGGTGAGGACTAGTTGAAGGAATTCATCGCAGCTAGAGAAGAGAAGAGTTCTTGAAAGCCTATGAAAGGATTAGATAATATTATTCTAAAGTTTATTACCTTGGGAGGGTATTAGACTCCCCCTCTTGTATTTCCTCTTAAGGTCATCTTCGTTTAAATCATTGTAGACATCGTATTGTTCTTTTTGCTCTGCTTTATTCAATCCATGTGACTTCCTTCTAGTCTTCCTATGTTTCTCTGAAATTCTAATATTCATCCCTCTTTATGGTATAGCAGTGTTTCATTACGTTCATGTGCCTTAGTTTATTCAGTCATTCTCTAATCACTGAGGGATATGTTTTGTTTCTTTCTTTGTATTATCACAACTAAATGTGTAATATTTGCATGTATAATGCATGTGTAATAACATCAATATTGTTGTACATATGGATGCCCTTGGTTTTTTTCTTAATGTGAACTGTTGTCTGCCAAATCTAAGTGGAGATCAATACATTTTTATTCCTATTTAAATTTCATCCTTTTTTTTTTGGCCGTACAAGTTTGTGGAGTTCTTTTTAGATCCAGATTCTGTCATCATACATGTTGTCTACCCTTCTAAGCTTAATGTCATCTATAAATCTGATAAGCAACCTTGTAAAGTTGTTTTTTTTTTTTTTTTTGGTAAGCCTGTATTGAGTCTGTATAATTATGTAGAGAGGACAGAAAGGTCAAACCGTATAGGAAAAACACAACAGAGATGTTTGTCATAAAATCTATTCCATTATATGGATTCTAAACTTTCTTTAGTAATATACAAATGACAGAAAGATTATGCAGTCTTTAAAAGGGAAAAATAGTTATCAATACATGACTTAAGCTATGAACACAAGAAAATATTGATAGGTCAATATGCTATTGATTCATCTATTCTACATGTCAGAGCTTAAAATCCAATGTCACCTGAAGCTAAAATAGAACTTTAGCTTATGTTCTATATAGTTCACATTGAAAAGAATTTCTATTAGCTTGTGGTTGACTGAGTTGTGTGTACTTTGATCTGATTCTTGGGAAATGGATAGGATTTGGATTTGGATAGACAAAAATAAGGGAAAAGAGATTCCAGGTAGCATAGGCTATTATAGGTCAAGGCTCAGAGGTGAATCAATACAAGACATTTTTAGAAATCTGTGGATAGTCTGGTGAATCAGGTGGCTTGCGTTGCTGAACAGTGGGGCTATAGTTTAAAAGGTAGATTGGGACCCAATTGTTTAGAGGTTTAAATGACATTGCACATGTTCCATTTTTTAATGACTGAATGTGTTGCTGTTCCAGTTCCAGGTCCTCCTGCTGGGGTCAAAGCAGCAGCAGCATCAGCCTCTACTGTTTTTGTATCCTGGCTTCCCCCTTTCAAGTTAAATGGAATCATCCGAAAGTACACTGTGTTCTGCTCACACCCATATCCCACAGTAAGTTGACAAATAACAAAGAAGCTTTCAAGCAGTTCTAAGATTAGCTGTATTTGTTTATTTTTGACAGTTAGAAATATTTAAATATTAAGGTTTTTCTCTTTTATTTCTGGTATCTCTTCCTCTTTATTCCCCTCTACCCTAGTATGTTATTTTACTCTAGGCAAGGCTCTTTTTATAGCTTATTATGAATTATAAGACTAAATGATTTTAATCATTTAACAACATCATTCTAATAGTATTGCTTATTTGGTAGATTTTTACAAAACAATTGACTGCCAGGTTTTCTAAATTCTGAATAAGATGTCCACAAAACAGGACCTATTGATTTTCCTGTTGGACTCATTGTGAAATAGACAACTCTTTCTCCCTAACCTACCATTTTCCATCCCTGCCTCCATCGTTATATCTCTTTGCAGATACAGTCAGAGTTGTAGGCAGATCCTATGGGCATTGATGGAAATAATAGGAATTTGTTTCTAGAGATTTGGGACTTTTTAATGTATCTCTATATGGATAGGACCAATTACATGCCATGCTTCTTCTAATTTCTTTTCAAAGGAATTAAGAGCTTCAGGTAGAAAACTTTGTTATTATTGTATTATAACAAAAGTCACATACACTAAGAACTCCTTAAAAGCTGGAAGTAAAAACAGTGAAATCTTAAGAAGCTGATGAAGAAAGAGACATGAGAAGACTAATTTTTTTAAAAATTCTATGCCATTTTATGTGATTTTTTTTCTCTCTTTACTAGTTAATTTAGTTTGGTACTAATGATTCTATAATTGAAGATAGTTTCCCATTCAAATTGGTTAATATTTTACAATAAGTAATTCTGTTCCATATCCAGAAACTATTCTACATCTTTAGCCCTAGTCAACATATCTGGGTGAATAATAGTGAGTAACAAACCCCACTCATAGGCAGCAAGGTAAGACAATGTGAATGGTTCAGCACAAATCAATTCTCACTACTAGGAAAAATGGATGTGAAGGAGAGTACATTTTTCCTTGAACATAATATATGAAAACCTAATTATTTATTGAGTTGCTTAAAATGAAATAATAATTTTATGCTGCTCTTTTAAGACAGTGGTAGTCATGTCAACTAAACTAAAGACAAATTTATTATACCTGGTATTATACCTGGCAAGAATATGTGTAATCTAGGAAATTACACTCAAATAAACACATGACTTTTTTTAGAAATAAAAGTCTTCTATTGTGTACGTTGTTAAAAATAAGAAAGAAACATGTGCAGTCCCTTCAAATCCAAATCTCTCTCTTTACAAAGAACAATGTTGACATTTGGAAATCTATGTGAATAATGAAATACACACTTGTTTATCTTTTTCTTCCTTTCCCAGTTCTATAAGTTATTTCTGTCCTCAGTTTTTTTCCTATGTATACACATGCAAATTTTTTATTTCCCATATTGTCTTCATAATGGCAGAAGAATAAGTTTGTGCTTCCTAAACAGAAGTTAAAATTCCAGGTTTGTTAGAATAGCTAGAACATGATCTCCCTCAACTACAAACCTTGTTTCCATCCTTTAAAAGAAAGCAATTGGATTATTTTACTTAACAAACACTTACTAGTCTATTGGGAAATAGAAACACCTTCAGAATTTTCTTTGTTGTCAAGGAAATGGTGATGAAACTACAAAATAGAGGACAGGAAATTTTCTCTAATCCTCATAGTCTCTCAAAACTTCCCAAAAGAGTATGTACAAAATATAAAACAATTTCTGTAGTCTCCAAAGGCTAAGCCACCAAGAGCCCTAAAAAGATAAAAACCCAATGAACTAATAGCATAAAAGGCTAATTCTTAATTCCTAACTGGCTGACAGATCACCCCAACCACCATATCTGGCAAGGCTGCTTAAGCTTACCATGGGCACTCAAAAGAATTCATCTCTACTTCTTCCTCTCTGCACCACAGGAAAAAAAAGGAAAAAGCTTGCTCTTGATGAGACTGAAAATTGGCAGTGCTCTATGCTGCAATGGAGCTAATTCAGACACATGAGAAATAGAGGGCAGGCATGGCAGGATGGCTGTTTGTGTAACTTTCTGCTAAGTCTGAGGGAAAATGACCTAATATTCAGCTAGGGCTAGTTGTGTACTCCCAGAAGTTACTTGGAGCAAAGACCAAGGCTGGTGAAATGTGAATTCTCCATCCAAAGTGGAGGCTGAATCAGCTTTGAGATTTATCCCCAGGGAAACAGCCATCAAAGGCAAGGGAGTCAGAAAATGAGTAATCGGGGATCATGAGGGGAAAAAAATTAAACTCAGTAAAGATTTCAGAAAACCTTAGGAGATGCCCAATGTCTCAATTAAAGACATTTAGTATAAGCAGATAAACCAAGGAAGATTTTTAATAAGAGGAGGATCAACTAAACAAGTTCAAACATATATGAATAAATACTGCAAGACAAAAGAAAATGAATGAACACCTGGGGGAAAAAAGGATCCTGTGGAGCCCCAGTGGAATCATAGCAGGATGTCCCCAGATGATTAGTAGAGAATTAACAATTGTGAAGGCATAATTTATGGCCTATAGAGCAGAAATAATTGGTGGAATAGACATTGGTGAACCCATGAATCCAAAGAAAACAAAAGAGAGAACAACTGGTTGAGAATACAAATACACAGAAGTGAGGGACAACCTGGAAGAAAAGAAACAAAAAGCAATAATGTTAAAATTAAAATATTCTCCATACAAGCAAAACATATTGATCTCTAAAATAAGATGTATAGAAACAATTTGAGGATTCTAAGTCTCCCATGAAAACATTATAAGTCAAAAAATATAAACACCACAACGCAAAAAATAATACAAGAAAACTGCTTGGCATTTCTAGAAAAGAAAAATGTACCAATTGAAAGAATCCACAAGTCATCTCCAGAGAATCAAAACAAAACAAAACAAAACAAAACCTGTGCTGCAAATTCCAAGGCACATAGTGGTTAATTTAACAATTCTTAGGGGCAGCTAGGTGGTGCAGTGGTTAGAGCACTGACCCTGAAGTCAGGAGGACTTGAGTTCAAATCAGGCCTCAGACCAAACACTTGACACTTACTAGCTGTGTGACCCTGAGCAAGTCACTTAACACCAATTGCCTAAAAAAAAAAAATTCCTATGACAGGAGGTAGAGTCAAGAGGGCAGAGTAGCAGGAAGAAGTACAGCCAGCTTCCATACACCAGACCAAGTCCTAATCAAGAATTCAATTTCAGAATAAAAGTGAGTCATTTTTTTTCCAGACCAAAACAATAGAGACATATAACAGAGCTCTGCTGAAACTAAGGATAGTTTCTATCTGAAAAAGCACTACATAGAGCATTCTAGCATAGAAGAATGAGGCTATGAACCAAGACAAGAAGAGGTTCCAGACTTCAATCTTGTGCAGAGTGCAGGAACAGGGGCAAAATATCATCTGTATCACTCTCTACCCAGTTCCAGTTCATGGATTCAAGCTGAAGTAATGCAGGGACCTATATCTAGAGGTGGTGTTCCAGGATGATGAGTGGTCACAGTCCCTAGACTGGGAAGTAAGCTAGAAGCAAGTTCAGAAGCAATGAGCTGCTGGCTATATACCTGTGACTTTAAGAATAGAGTGGGATCTCACTTCTAGCCTCCATACCAGTCTGAAGCCTGAAAAAGAACAACCAGGGCAGAAAATCTAGTCCTAAGAGGAAGCTGTAGTTGTGTCACTCCGAACCTGCAGAACTTTCTAGTTTGACTGATAGTGGTTGAGTCAAATATCAGTCTACTAGGAATTCAACAACCAAGGCCAAATTGAAAACTTTGTTGTTCAGATCCAAATCTAGGTCAGATTAATTCATAGAGTTAAGTAAATTTAAGACAGTATTAACTCATAGAGATTAGATGAGAAAGACAGTTATCAGACTTTGTCATGGATAAGAACACTTTCGGGGCACTAAAGGATGTCAGGTCTTTAGCCTGAGCTGTCTCTAAGATCCTAGAATACCATAGCACTCAGTAATCCAAGAAAGCAACAGATGGAATGGAAAGAATACAAGCTCAGCCCAGACATTCTTTCCAGAAGTTAGCCCAGACATTCCTTCCAGAATTAGCATCAAGTCCAAAGTCAGGAAGTAGGCTAGAAGAATGAATGAACAAACAAAAAGAATCCTACCGTAAAGAGCTATTATAGTGACAAAGTCACTGAAGACACAATTCCAGAAGGTAATGACATCAAAAACATTTATGTCAAGCCAAAAAGAGGGTGGAAGAAAGAAGGAAAGGAAGAAAGAAAGAAAGAAAGAAAGAAAGAAAGAAAGAAAGAA